ATATAGGCTATGGAATATAATGACTCTAACGACAAAGATTACAGTGTTGATTCTAGATTACAATATCAAGAATCAAACTGCCATTTCTGTGCGTTAATTGAACTGTCAGAAGCAATAAGTTGTTATCTATATTACAATATGAATAACGAGTTCGTGAAAAAACAGGGGGGGGGGGGATATCAATAAGGGTCATTCCAATCAAATGCGGGCACAGTGCCACCCCTCCCCTATGACGCACCAAGCCTTTATCATGTTTTAAGTATGAGCAGCTCCTCTTCAACGCAACCAAAGTATAGTCGGTAGGAAAATGGATTTCGATTGACCGGAGTGAATTGCCAAATACCAAATAACTGATGCCATCAACTCCTTTTAGAGGGTGCTACTCACTAAAGGATTCTGTGAGCTGAATTTCAGGATAGGTGTTAAAGGAACACTATCTCTTAGAATGGACATTAAATTTAAAGCCTCAATCTTGGTCAACAAGTGTATATATTCATCAGTTGGACTTACCACGTACCATGACTAAAGAATAGAATCTCTATATAACACGATATATCCATTAAACTAAATAATTATTGAAATTATTGTTTCAGAATTACTTGGTTTAATTCATTATTACTTAGTTTAATGGATTATTAAGTTGTATAGTTATAGATTTATTGGATTATTGAGGGATTCGGATGTACAGTTATGACACCAGTTAAGTCCACTGATGAACAAAGATTCATTTTGGCTGTTTAAAAATTTCAAATTTTGGGTCATCCTAAGAGTTAATATACCTTTAAGGGACTGGAAATGACCAGTGTTTTCGAGAGTTGCTCCGTTATTTTGTCGCTATCTCTTCATCTATCCTCTGAAAGAATAGTGGAAGTTAAAGCATAACAGATGTGATAGAAAACCTGTTAGAAAAATTCTGTAAGGGTCATTAAAAGAGAAGTAATTACAGGAACCGTTAACTAACAGAATTAACTGTTAAATTAATCATTTTGTTGCATTGTCTGCGGAAACAGTATCTCTCGTCTAATTCCTTTCAAGTCGCCTATTTCACCTTCTGTCCTTCTCTACAAGTTATTAAAGATATCACTAGTCCCTGGTCTAGTCCCCTTTGTCCGATTTTTGACATCTTCACCAATTTTAAAGTTATAATGTAGATCACTATATAATACTGACGACTTTATATAACTATATAATACTGACGACTTTATATCACTATATAATACTGACGACTTTATATCACTAAATAATACTGACGACTATATATCACTATATAATACTGACGACTTTAGATCACTATATAATACTGACGACTTTATATCACTATATAATACTGACGACTTTAGATCACTATATAATACTGACGACTTTAGATCACTATATAATACTGACGACTTTATATCACTATATAATACTGACGACTTTATATCACTATATAATACTGACGACCTCATATCACTATATAATACTGACGACTTTAGATCACTATATAATACTGACGACTTTAGATCACTATATAATACTGACGACTTTATATCACTATATAATACTGACAACTTTATATCACTATATAATACTGACGACTTTAGATCACTATATAATACTGACAACTTTATATCACTATATAATACTGACGACTTTAGATCACTATATAATACTGACGACTTTATATCACTATATAATACTGACAACTTTATATCACTATATAATACTGACGACTTTATATCACTATATAATGCTGACGACTTTATATCACTATATAATGCTGACGACTTTAGATCACTATATAATACTGACAACTTTATATCACTATATAATACTGACGACTTTAGATCACTATATAATACTGACAACTTTATATCACTATATAATACTGACGACTTTATATCACTATATAATACTGACAACTTTATATCACTATATAATGCTGACGACTTTATATCACTATATAATACTGACGACCTCATATCACTATATAATACTGACAACTTTATATCACTATATAATACTGACAACTTTATATCACTATATAATGCTGACGACTTTATATAACTATATAATACTGACAACTTTATATCACTATATAATACTGACAACTTTATATCACTATATAATGCTGACGACTTTAGATCACTATATAATACTGACGACTTTATATCACTATATAATACTGACGACTTTATATCACTATATAATACTGACAACTTTATATCACTATATAATGCTGACGACTTTATATAACTATATAATACTGACAACTTTATATCACTATATAATACTGACAACTTTAGATCACTATATAATACTGACGACTTTAGATCACTATATAATACTGACGACTTTAGATCACTATATAATACTGACGACTTTATATCACTATATAATGCTGACGACTTTATATCACTATATAATATTGACGACTTAAGATATTTCGCTCACGGTGGATTTTTGCAAAAGGATATTTATCAAAATACGTTTCACTGATATACAATAATAACATATTAATTAATTATTGATTTATGTATTCATTTATTTATATAAAAATTTATTTCATCATTTATATACAAATTTATTTAGTCATTTATATACAAATTTATTTAATCATTTATTTACAAATTTATTTAGTCATTTATATATAAAAATATATTCATTTATTTAAATCAAATACATTCATTTATTTTATTAACTGATTCAGTTTATTTTATTCAATTATATACAAATTTAATTAGTCATTTATATACAAATTTATTTAATCATTTATTTACAAATTTATTTAGTCATTTATATATAAAAATATATTCATTTATTTAAATCAAATACATTCATTTATTTTATTAACTGATTCAGTTTATTTTATTCAATTATATACAAATTTAATTAGTCATTTATATACAAATTTATTTATTCATTTATATACAAATTATATAGTCATTTATAAACAAATACACTAAATACATTCATTTATTTTATTAACTGATTCAGTTTATTTTATTTATTTATTCATTTATATACAAATTTATTTAATCATTAATATACAAATTTATTTATTCATTTATATACAAATTTATTTAATCATTTATATACAAATTTATTTAATCATTTATATACAAATTTATTTAATCATTTATATACAAATTTATTTATTCATTTATATACAAATTTATTTAGTCATTTACAATAAGTACATTCATTTATTAAACTGATTCAGTTTATTTCATTCCTTTATTCATTCATGTATTTTACTTTTTTATGGCTTTTTGTCCTTGTTTTTGTGGTTTAAAGACTATTCAACTTATATTACGTTCCAATAAGCTACATCAATTGGTATTTAAAATTATATACCCCTTGCCCACTAAACCTCCTACCCCATCCTTCTCCGTGTCCTTTTTTAACATTCTTTAGTTATGTATAAAAAATATACAATTTATTTTATTTTTTTCGCATTATAATATTCGCATTTCTTAACTTTAGAGAGAAGAATTTAGATCCTGAAAGACTCAATAAATCAAATCTGCTTTAAAAAAAAAAAGAAGAAAAAAAAGGTACGCCCAACAAGATTGACAAATTAGATAATAAAATTATGACAACAAAAATTACAATTTAATTATATTAAAGAAAATATGTGATCTAATTTCTACTAGGGGCCCTCGTCAGATTAATTAACGCGAACGTCAGAGTGAACGTTTTTTCGACATATGGCAGTTTTGGTTGGTTTGCTAAAAACAATGCGAAAGGCATAAGAATATTTCATATCTGGTAAGAGGTTTTAGGTGATTAATCTTTTAGCACATTCTGCGTGCTATGCGATATATACATTAGAACTAGAGTATTGCCCCGTTGCACGTTTTAGCGAGGAAAGAAAAACAAAGCAACACATCGAACCATCTGTGCAGATTTTCCCTCCATTTACTCACAGTTATCCAGACGTAAACGTCAGTGACTTTACTCACTTGTTGTTGGAGACTACCTTCAAATAGTCCCGTTCACAAATCTCGCCCTGTACGAGATAGAAATTGACAGATGGCGGGAACTGGTGAACTAGCGGAAACAAACAATCGTATCAGAAATAAAACAAGTCGAAGCTGAATTGCCTCTCAAGTAGCCGACAATAAATTTAAGAATTTCCAAGTCAATTGTTATTCGTATTAATCGCCCATCAAAGAACCCGTTAGAATAAATGCGTCAAGTAGAATAGTCATTTACTCATGTTGAATTAAGCTGACCTGGTCCTGTAGGCTGTAAAGAAAGATTGAAAGTAGTTGTAGAGAGGGAGAGAGAGTAGGGGCGTGGCTTAACTAACATCGGGACTGGTTGAACCAAGACCACGGACCTTAAGAGGGTCCTCGCCCCTAGAAAATAGAAAATTAACTAAAAAGTAATGTACAACCACCAATATATAAAATAGTGAAATACAGACAGAAAATCTTCCATAAACAGGCATTAAAATAACTTAGCGACGTCTTCAAACACTTAGCTTCAGTGGGATTGCAGGAACCAGGGAAAATTGGTATGGTGTAAATTGATGCTATCAGTGTCCCGATACACATAAAATGTTTAGGAAACCTCTTTATAATCTCTCTAAATTCGTGGATTGGCTGGGAGGTCTACAAAAATCACGAGGGGGTGGGGTCTGTGTGGAATATGAAATTGTTATTTATTCGCAGTTTTATTCCAGCTGCCTTGCCTCTGTTTGTATAGTTAGCCAAGTATACCATTAATAGGGAAAACAGACTCCGAAACAGTGATAGAATTTGTCTCATATAAATGGCGATTTATCGCGCCATGTTTAATGAAATAAAAATCAAGCTTTCTTTTTTAAAATATTTGTACTGAAGAGATATTTTGACGGAAGAAATTACATCACATCGACATCGACAATCCCTTTAAATTATGTTTTTGAAGGGATGTAACTCCATTTAACAACCTGTAAATAGAAATAATTACTTGATTGTCCAGACCTAAGATAGCCAATGAAATTTATCAATGTGATTAAACGTCTGGTTAATCTTATCGATAAAGATGGAGTTGTCGAGTTCAGTTTTGGAAGAAATAACACTCGCAGGCGACAATGCTCATATTTCAGACAAAGTTTTTAGCGATTTGGTGAAGCATGCGTGTCAGGGACTGCTGTCAGACAAAAATAAGAACAGCGTGGCGGGTGAGGAAGCACGGAACTGGGCCGAAATGCCAATGAACGTTTTCAATTGATAACAAATTGAAAGTAGAACTCCACGCCCCTTTTACTTTTGATTACAATATTTTAAGCTTATAATACCATGCCAGTGTTAAAGTTGACAATTTTTTTTATTGGTTCTGTCATTGGTTTCTTACACATTAGTATCAGCTAAGCCCTGTATGTTTTCAGGTCCAAACCAGAGCTTCAGATTTCACCTGATTTGGTACCACAAATGTGAGGGAATAACATAAGTTTATTTGCATATTTCAGATGAAGCAATTTTTAAAGATACAGATAAAGGCAGTTTAAAGTCAGCCTACAGTGGAATTATCACATTATTAACAGAGGCAACCAAATGGGATGTTGAGTCATCTTCCATAGGGTAAATCTAAACCATCTACCACTGATGGCTAAATTTCTGATTTTTCTCATATTGCCATTTTTCAGCTATTTTTAAATTCTAGTTATGATGACAGAACAAACATGACAGAACAAGTTCCATGTCCTCCATTTAAAAGTTCCGGTGGACACAATTACTGGTTACTGAAGTTCTGTTATTGTAGTCCTTTTAATGCCCTTTAGGGTCACTAATATTCTTCGGATCCCCAAATAAACATGCAGATTTTTTTACACACACACGTTTGGTCTTCTACTTCTATGACAATCAACACTAGTTGGTCTGACTGTAGACTGATGTTGAATATTTTGTGTGGTGTATTTTCAGGGCGTTATTAGAGGACTGTAAATATACCACTGATAGAATCAACAGTTTTAATAATATTTATTTAGTAAGTATCTAGTTTTAAAGATTTAGAGAATATATGAAGGCTTTGGGCTTAGTCAGTTGGAGCGTTGGTTCTTGGTTCTAACTCTAGTACAAGGCGTTTTGAGTTTTAGTCTTAACATTCCAATGATGACTTGTTAAAGTGACAATTGCCATTTTTGGTGGTTGATTTGGGTCTCAAATATTTTTGAATGGAAAATCGCATAATTCCTTCAGAAGTTTGTCATTTCTGTATGGAAAAGAGGCAAGTCGTCATTTTAACTTTCAACGCCGCATGATTCTACACACATAGAATTGAAGCTCAAATTTTGACGTTGAGGCGTGAACACTATTACTGATCTGCTTAGCTAAAAAATTCTCATTTCTGAGACTAAGGTACGATTGGTCTAACGGATGGTGAGTCTGTCTCTTTAAAGTTTGGCATGAGGAAGGCTATGAATTTTTGTAATATTTGATCAGTATTATGCATTGATTCAATTAAAAATATGTCTTTTTCTATTTCAGTCCAAGAAACCTTTAATACAGATTTTATTAGGAAGGTCAGTTTCAATGTTTCAATGCCAGTCTCCAGGGATTGGGGGGTACAAAAGACTCACTGGTGGGGGGGAGGGGACAACTGTCAAGGCTGAATTAAAGCCAGTCATGGAGTGTCAGAGAGTTCTCCCAATTGAATCGATTTGGTGCATTTTCATACTTATTTTGGGGCAAAAACATACAAAAACTCTATATTTGAATTGGTTTAAAATTAAGTGGGGGTACAATAATTGGGGGTGCAAACCATTTTTGTAGCGGGGTGAATTGTTGCTTATTATGCTAATATATATATACATTTTGGAACATTCTTGTGAGATATAATTTAAAATCTTGATACATGCTTTTTTTTAACTTTTTCAATCCTTGTCCACAATGGACCTGAAGTCAGGGGATGAGGTATCTTGTCTAAGTTGATGCCAGTAATATTGTGTTATTTCAGTATTGGTAAAAGTCCACCCCACATAGTTGATGTAGATTGGAGACTCGATTATTATATAAAGGTAGGTTTTTTTTTTTTTAAGAACAACTCTTGAAAGCATTGACTGTGGAATCAGAAATAGATATTGGGTTATCACCTTCATCTTATGATGCTGACACGTGTTTGAGATATTCAGTCCTCATCAGGACTGCTAATTAAATTTATAATATTAAACTTTCTGTGTATGTGAACACATTAGAGTACTTTGTAAGCTAGTAAAGCAATTATTTAGACATTTGTATTAGCTTAGGTTAATATATGATATTTGAAAGTTTCTCTTGTAAGAAACACTTGTTTGAATTCTGAATTCGGAATGTATGATATATTTTTCAGAATAATCATCTTGATAAAGTTAACGAACCAGTTTATTTAATTACACTTAAAACAGAGGTGAGTTTATAATTCTGATGTTGATCACAATTTTTGTTGTTGTGGGGTCGTAGTAAGTGATGTTCCAATCGTCGCCGACAATCCATTAGCTTTTATTGAAAGTTAAACGATGCTAATAATGAATTCCTAACGAAAGTCGCCAACGTCTGCGAATGATTGAATTTTTTTTGTGTTGAATGTAAAAATAAATTTGCATTTCGTGTCGACAGACATTCAATAGCTACTACCAATGTTTTGCCAGTATGTTGTTTGAATTTCGCTTTGCAATTCAGATCGTTAGTACTTGGCTTATTTATTTAATTACCTGCACCAAAAATACTGTTTTCATTTTTACAAGATTTTTAAGAAACATTGAATGTGGCGTAAATCAACTATTTTCAACCGATAGCCCATCACTAGTTAATAGTCAACTTACTAATTACCATTTATTATTCCAGGTTGCTGGTCAATCAGAATTACAAGAAGTTCAGTTTTCATGTTCCCTGGAACAATTACAGGTACTATTTCCATTAATTTTTCTCCTTGTAGTGTATAAGAGTATTCTCCCTTTATCCCTGTCACATTATGGTGGCGCTTGATTGAAGAGGTTCCTTCTGTTCTTATTCTGTCCTTAATCAAACAGTGTGAAAGCTTATAGTGTTACATTCAGAATTTTCTCATCTATTTCCTTCTCCGCCATTTTGAATTCTGTCTGTACTTACTATTTTTTCATGTGGAACGCATTGAGAACTGTTCAAACTTTTTTATTGTTCAGAACTCGCCAATCGAGCGACACCATATTATAATTATAAATTTCTTTTTTACCACAAGAACACCATTTAAGCCCAGCATAACACTTTTCACAATTAAAATCATAAACCTTACTCTACAATTCAAACAAAACACTTGTAAGACAAGGCCAAGGAAAACCTCTTCAAATAGAAATTGAAAATTTGCTTCTGTTGGCACTATTTTAGTCATTTTTTGATGCAAACCAAATAAATGCCTTTCTTTTTTCTTTTAAGGATTTAGTTGGAAAATTAAAAGATTCTACAAAATGTTTGGAAAAACTGGGGCAAATGTCATGATGCTGTTCTAAAAGTATTGTTTGAATCATGGCTTATTTGTTGGATCAAAATAACTTTAATGCACTTAATGTGTAAAATACTAGAACTAAATTACTACATTGTGAACTGATGCAGTGAATGAATATGTCATTTGTGTTTAGAGAACACAAACATAGCATTATATCCAAACCCCAAACAACATCAATCTATTGAAATAATAAAATTATCGTAAACTTTCGATTTTATTTGTTTGTTTCTATTATATAATATCTATCAAATAAAGCAATAGCACTCAGGGTTCAGTTTAAGTGGTATCGCATCGCATATTTCCTTTTGATTAGCTAATCTTAAATTTATCGTGACGATCTGGGTCCTGGGAATCTAATCACATTGTATATTTGAAGATTTACTACTGGAACATTATAAATTGCTACCAAATTTTCAGGAAACGTAAATCAAAATTTAACTTGATTAGTTAAAACTAAAATTTGATGTTATAAATTGCTAATCAAATTTTTCAATCTAAATTGAATCATGATAGCACATCTAGCACTGTACAATATATCTTATTATAACATACTAATAAGCCAACAAATAACAATGTGTAAAAAAAATGGCTATTCTAACCCTTTTTTATACCACAAGCACTATGTTTGTAGTTATTTGCATCCTTTTCCCCAGAGAGTTCACATGGCCAATATTAATTTGGTATTTAGAATCTAAACTTTCACATAGCTACTTATCCTAGAGTGAACCTGACATCCATTTCAGAGAGTCCACATAGATATTTATGTTTGTCAACTAGGTATCCCTTACAGAGAGTCCACACAATTTAAAATTATTATATGATATATTTATTTTTTAGAGTAAAAGACTCTGTCCAAAAAATATAATTTTTGAATCATCTGATTTTTCTTTGGATATGTTCTTGTTTATGAGTGCCGTCACAAAATGGCCGATTATTAGATTGTTTACAATTACAAAGCCAGTAGTTTTTGGTTTCATCTACTGTGAAATTCAATGGCTGCCATTTGTAATCTGTTTTTATTTCTTGGTATCCCCATAAAACTTTATGGCTTCCGTCACAAAACGGCTGAAAAAGTGAGAAAAGGTTGTTTTAATAATGACAACTCTGATTTATTTTTTTCAAATTTCATATTACTGAACAGTCCTATAACAGTCTAATTAAAATTAGACCAAACCTTCGTTCCACTTTTTATTAGCTTTTATTTTGAATATAGCCGCTTCAGTTGGGGTCATCATAAATGCTCTAACACACATTTATTCAATTTTCCAGCCAACGTTTGTCCTGATATACTACCATAACCGCCACAGGGTAACAGTTTATTGCTTAAATGTTTTCAGCTACAAACCTGTGTTTTACTAGCTCCACAAAGACACCAGTAATATTTTTTACCGGCTTGCAATTCTATCTGAAACGGTTTCTTATCAAATATTTTTCCCTTGGGTGGGTTGGTAGTGTACTCATCCACAAACTGAGGATTCTCTGGATGTTTTTTCCATTTTTTCTGTCCTTTTATTCTAGCAGACGTCTGTAAAAACAAAAAAAGGAAGTTGGTTGAGTAGTGACAGAGCACATTAAAAGGCTGTATAAATCCACTGTGGTCTAAATAATGAACAGGCTTTTCTCCCTTGAGCTTCAAGCATCGTTTTCGGTGACGATTTAGCATTTACAGAGCATCGCATAGACATTCGAAGCCATTTCCATGTATTGCAGTACAAAATTTATATAACAAGTTTATCTTACATGGAAATAAAGTTGCATTCCCATTAAACGAGAAGTATTTAATCCGACAAGCTTTTGCAACACAGTGGGCAGCGCCATCTTGAAGGACCGCACTAAATAAATGAAAAGAGTTGAACTAAAAAAAATATCTTTTGATTCAATTCTTATTTTCAAAAACGTATTTTATACATTCTCTTTTTCCAGGGCAAAATCAATCATTCAATTTTGATTTTGATGAATATTTACCCTGGAAATTTTGACAAATCCTAAAACGCCGGAAGTTTATCGCGTTACAGTCGTTGCTGTGTACATTTGCTTAGCAACAGCATTGTCGACAACAATAAGTCTTGTCAAATTTTCATTAAAAGCCAGTTGCATGCTGTAGAACGTTACAGAACTGCAAAAATGAGCCAAAGACAAGTATTACAAGGTAAGAAAGCCGGCATCCTTACATCGATCTTATAGATCATGCGAATGTCTTCTATTTTTCGAAAGAGAATTTGAGAAAACAAGGGGAGGGGGAAAAGTGATGAGCGACAGTGATTCCATATGGATAGCCTAGTGATTGGCTTCTTGTAGTAATATGATAGACCTCTTGAATTGAATAATGATTAGAATCTTGACATAATCTAGATCGATTTATTAATAAAGGGGAAGGATTGAAAAAAAAATCCCTAGATTTTTTACCAGTTTATTAGATTTGTCCTTGCCATTAATTTTATAGCCTAGTAACTTGTTGTAAACTTGTAGTCAAAGTTGCAGACTAATGCTACGGTCTAGGCTACACTTGCTCTAGTCTAAGGACTTGTCTATCAGTATCTTGTTTACACTGTATAGACAAGTTTTACAATCAAATTGTGAACTTACCGTGCATTGAAATCATTCAAATTTGAACTTTTAAATAGAACAATATCCATGCTAAAGTCCAATACTGTCAAGACCAAGTTAAGTTTTGTTTATTTAGATCGATTGAGTAAAAATTAAGTTTTCTCCGTCCTATTCCTGAAAGCCATTAGTGCTTGTTGTCATGGTCAGGGTCATGAATGTTCGTAGTGATTGAAATCTAGTAACTCATCCTGAAATAGGGTCCAATAGTGGGACCGACTAAGTGGCTCGAAAATTTAGAAGACGCATTTTCTGTTTTAGTTTTTGAGCAGTATCAGAAGTCTCGAACACAGTTTGTACAGACTGTGGCTGAGTTGGCTTCCAGACCACAAAATATAGAAACGCTTCAAAATGCTGGGGTTATGTCCCTTCTGCGTCCATTGTTGTTGGATATCGTACCAACCATTCAACAAACAGCAGCTCTAGCTCTTGGTAGACTGGCTAATTATAATGATGATTTGGCTGAAGCTGTTGTAAAAGGAGATATACTACCACAATTAGTTTATTCTTTGGCTGAACAAAACGTAAGTTCCTTAAGTTATTCCTGGGGTTGCTTGATTGGTGATTTCTGAACGTTTGGGATTCATGGAATCAACAGAACATTCAATAAAACAATTTGGAACATACTTCAGAACATGTTGCATATGTGCCGAAAGAATAGTAGTTGCAGACAGAATTCAAAATGGCGGGGAAGGAAATAGATGGAAAATTTTGAATGTGACATATTCCACTACCATACTGTTCAATTGGGGGTAAAATTAGAACAAATCGAATCTGCTCATACCTCACCAATCAAGCGCCATCTGCATTATTAATTTCTATCAATTTTACACATGGTAGGCCCACTCATATTATTTCTTTTAAGAGTGGCCAGAAGAACTTATGGTCTTAGCAAAGTAAAAAGTTTTAAAATTTTTTCCATTTAATGCTTCATAAAAGAAAAATCAGGAATGCAAGCCAACTAATGCTGCACTATCATTATTTTGTTACTAAAAATAAACTTATGTCTATTGTTTTTTTCAGAGATTTTATAAGAAAGCAGCAGCATTTGTATTAAGAGCAGTAGCTAAACATTCCCCCCAGTTAGCCCAGTCTGTGGTAGATTGTGGGGCTCTGGATGCTCTTGTGATCTGTTTAGAAGAATTTGACCCAGGAGTGAAAGAATCAGCAGCTTGGGCTTTAGGTTACATTGCCAGACACAATGGAGGTCAGTTGTATTTCCATTATAAGAATTAATAATCCCTAACCATTTCTGATCTTCAAGTTGTCCAGCAGACCTAATGTTAAAGATGAAATCCAGATTTTAACAAATATAGTAATCTGATTGGATAACAAAAATCTAAATCTAAAATCAATTTTAGTGAATGACCAATCAGATAATTGCAAGACTGAAGTTTTTCAGAATAAGGTCCCAGATTATAAGGCTTTGATGTTTGATCATTTTCATTTTCAGAATTAGCACAGGCAGTAGTAGATGCTGGTGCCGTACCTTTATTGGTATTGTGTATTCAAGAACCAGAACTCTCACTCAAAAGAATTGCAGCATCAGCCTTGAGCGACGTCTGCAAACACTCTCCAGAACTTGCCCAGACTGTGGTTGATGCTGGCGCCATTGCTCATTTAGCACAGATGATTCTAAATCCTGATCCCAAATTGAAGGTCAGTGAAAAATCTAAAAACCAAACTATTCATGGTTCTTTTAACCTTATTTTCTGAGATTAAAGGGGAAGTGTGCAAAATTTTCATTTTGAAAAATGCCTTAAATTATAACTGAAAATCTTTCTAAAATATGTTGTTTAAATTGTTAATTAAGCAGTTTGACCTAGTTTTGGTGTTTTGCCTTTATAATAGCTTGATATAATTAGTTGAAATCTTATACGAATGCGAAGGAGACATAATTCTCAACAATTAGATGTTTATTGTACAGTTTTCTAAAGGCTTCCAAAAAGCATAACGATAGTAAACTTTTTTTTATAGTTTGAGATTAAAAATTTTTACGACTGGAATTGTTTTGTTTGAATTTTCAGATACACTAAGGTTAAATTCAATGTTATTCTGCAAAAAATTCACTTCAAGTTTTAAATTGTTTCTTTTCCAGTTCAATATATCCTTAATATAAAATCTTCTCTTTCAGCGTCAAGTATTTTCAGCATTAAGTCAAATGGCAAAACATTCAGTTGATCTAGCTGAAATGGTGGTGGAAGCTGAAATCTTCCCTGCTGTTCTCACATGTTTAAAGGATCCTGATGAGTATGTGAAGAAAAACGTAGCTACTTTAATCCGAGAAATAGCAAAACACACACCAGAGGTAAGTTTATTTAAAAACTTCACCAGGTGTTATTCCTAAAAATCTCAAAACTGAATTGAAGGACAGGTTCGCTATCGGTTTAACCAACCTAACCTTAGTCTCAGAAACAGGCTATGTTTGTCAGTAATAGTGTTCACATCTCGCCGTCAAAATTTGAGCCTTCAAATCCATGTGTGTCCAGAATTATCTGCGTTAGAAAGTTAAAAGGAGGACTTGTCTTGATTTTAAATGTATGCAATTTTTGTACATTTTTAGTCTTTCTGAAGACCTTACACACATTCAAGAACCAAATTAACCCCAAAATTGGCGAATCTGTCCCTTGATATATTCTCTTATGATACCTTTTGCCAGGCAAAGGGAGCTGAGTGTAGTTACTAATTCTAATGATTTATATTTCAGTTGGCCCAGCTAATCGTGAATGCTGGTGGTGTGGCAGCTGTTGTAGATTATGTGGGTGAGTCGAAGGGTAACGTACGTCTGCCTGGTATTATGATGTTGGGCTATGTTGCTGCCCATTCTGAAAACTTAGCCATGGCTGTCATAGTGTCAAAGGTATGTATTGTGAACAGAAATAAGCAAATGTACAATTGTTGATATTTGGACAACTTCCACCGACAGTACTTCCTGTTACACAATGAGAAAAGCGAAGTGTGTTGAATGATGCCAATTCTGAGAAAAACGATGGTATTCGCATGTATAAATGTATTTGTGCATTTGTGTATTAGATAATCACTTTTAGAAGTCATAAGTAGGAAAAAAAACTGATCAAATTATACAATATTGCAAATTTATTTTTTTATTTTTAGGGTGTGGTCCAGTTAGCTATAGCGCTATCGGAAGAGCCGGATGATCATATCCAAGCTGCTATAGCGTGGGCACTAGGACAGATTGGACGTCATACACCAGAACATGCTAAAGCTGTAGCAGTGGCTAACGTTCTACCCAGATTATTACAGTGTTACCTAGAGCAGATGTTTCGGAAGATTTACAGACAAAGGTAGTGTAGCCAGATTGTTTACAATTGTTTAATATTCTACTTTATATTTAAGAGTTATGTCCCCTTAGGTCTCTTGATGGAAGGGATTTAGAATTTGATCTCTGAAACACTGGCCATTAAATCAGAAATTTTCCTGTGTTTATCATGATCATATTAATCTAATTTGCATTCATGAGTTATGTACTACCTAGTGGAAAAGTTTTAAGACTAAGCATATATGAGTCAACTCATTGAACAGGAGTGTCTAATTTAATTTAATTTTTTTCAGAGTAAAAAAGCATTAAAAAATATTCTCCAAAAATGTGTTCACCTACCAGCGTTAGAACCTTTATTACACGATGCACCACCAAATGTCTTGAAACACGTTGTCGGGCAATTCAGCAAAGTTTTACCCCATGATACAAAAGCCAGGAGGCTCTTTGTCACCAGTGGAGGTTTGAAGAAAATACAAGAAATAAAGGCAGAACCAGGATCAGCATTGGCCGAATATATCAACACCATTAATAACGTCTACCCAGAAGAAATTGTCAAGTGAGTTTTTGAGACTTTTCAGAAATTTAAAAAGTTAAGATGCGTCAGCGTGTGAATTGAGATGCTAAAAAAAATTTGTCTTAAAGGGATTGTAAAAAGGTTTTTTTTTAAAAAAAATTTGTGTATTGTGGATTGATTTTTTGAGAAGTCTGATTCCTGCAATTCCACTGAATCTAAATGTTTGATAATGTCACTAATTGTGTAGAGCCTTATGTGATAAAACATATCTTGCGATTAGTGATGTCATCAAACACTTAGTTTTATTGGAATTGCAGGAATCACAGAAGTCTGATTGCAAATGGATGCTATCAGTGTCCCAGATACACATAAAAAATATAGAGAACCTCTTTACAATCCCTTTAAATATTTGAAAAATCTTCAAAAAGTTATGAATATAGAAACATGTGTATCTGGCTTTAAGTGATGCTTAAATATTATTTACATATATTTTGTCCTTCTTTTGTCCTATTTTGGTGCTCAAAATGAGCAGAAATGTAGGGTACATAACTTTAATTCATTAATTGTTTACTGAACTATATATTTGATCTATTTTCAGATATTACTCTCCTGGATATTCCGATGCTTTATTAGACCGGGTCGACCAGTACCAGCCTTCAGCTTAAACTCCCCTATACTGTTTTTATTTATATTTTATATTTGTTAATATTAGGCCTTGTCATTTTTATCAAGTTTTTTGTGATCCACCTTGCAATTGGTCAGTAGATTTCTCATGATTGTTTGGAATGACATGGTCGGATTCATCAGGGTTCTGTTACACGAAAACGTTACCAGTCAGGTTCATGAAAACGTTAACTTAAAATGATTGACGAAAAGCATTCTGTTAAAATGACAAGGCCTGTCACAAGATGTTTTAAATAAGACAATAGTGCGAACATCTTAAATTTTTAACTTAACTGTGATATTCCCATTTTCATCAACTAAAATTTTCCTTTCTGCTATCTTTATTCCAAGAATTTCTTGGTTTTTTTAGTCCAAGGGCAAGTTATCTTGCCAAATTTCGTTCGTTTTAAAACAAAAATTCTGAAATGTAGAGGATTGGATGGCAGAATGGAAATGTTCACATTAATGTGTCAAAAATGAAATTGAAACTGTTCAAAGATTTATATTTGAAAATTTTGTCCCATCCTTTTTGCTTTTAAACCTTGTAACTTATCAATGTTAAAAATAATGATATTTGAAAATTCAGCTGTTGTAATAAATTTTTGAGACTATTGACATTTAAAGTCATCATAATCTGGTCTAGTTTTTTTTCTGGAAGTGGATGAACAGCAGAAATTAGGCTTGAAATTTAGTTTGAATGTTTGGATTTGAGCGGTTGACATGGTGGAAGTCAATATTTATTTTCTAATAAATGGCCAATAACGAAAGGGGGTAAGCCTACACTTATTACCCACAGGTTTAATCTACAGCAGCTCTCGGAATCTCTGAAACACCAGCAGGATGGAAAAAGAAAAAACTATATTTTACAAGGATAACAACTTAGGTTCACAATTAAGGATCCTTTCTACCAGCTGATCCTTGGCCAAATCTCTTGGTATTGATCTTGCCTGGATTATCCATACAGCTGGGTCGATTGGAATTGTGAATGAATATGGCTTAAAGACATTGATATGTTCAGATTTGAACTCGTTTTACTTAAAGGCTGAAGAGTTACCGCACTTAACGAACGCGCTAGTTTTGACTGGTATGTTAAAGTCTACAACAGCGTCTAATATCCAGTCCTGTCTTATCAGGCGAATTGGGTCAAGTAAATAGACCAACCCAGTTAACAGAAACATGGCAACATCAAGGCTTGTGACGGCTGTCACTTGTTAAAAATATATCCCTATCGATTCGGCTCAACTCAACGAAAAAGTTTATGATAAATTTATCGGATGTTTAGAAGAGTGTAACGAATGAAATTCAGCAGAAAAAAAGGTTTGTGTTGTATTTCTATCTAGATGTTTATTTTTCAATGCTGAACGACTTGAAATTTAAGGATGTTCGAAAGCATGTTGCCACTTAAGAGTCGCATATTATGCATCTAAAAACTTGCAGACGAGAATCACACTTACTGAAACAACAAAGTAAACAAAGCAAAGTTGCTGCCTTTAATATGCAATCGTAAAATGATATACGTATATGCAAATGATTTCTGCTTTTCTATTTAGATTTTGGACCTTGGCCTTCCTAACATTGATCATAATTATGTATAGTTTATCTCTCTTGGGTATACACTATAGAAGTTTTACAACCAAAGTTTCAACTATCGTCAAGGAAGTATTTTGAAATACAAAAAGTCTCTTCTCAAGTTGTTTATATTCATGTATTTGACAGTGCCATAAGGTCACGACATAGTTTCGGAGAATTTCGACATAGTATTTTTTTAGAGGCTTAGTTGGAATCGTGAATCTTATGTACCACGAATTTAGTGGTATCGTATTTCATTGGCGATTCTTAGAATGAAACTATAGCCTCAATGGCGTTGTTAGGAAATATTTGTGTGGTGGGTGCGAAAAGGGTCCGCAGGCAATTTCGCCACTATGTAAAATGAAAAAAAAAAAATGAAATTAGGGGGCCTAAGCGAGGTCAGCTTATTTCTGCCATTGACGTAAACCTTCATTTCATTTGTAACGATTTAAATAATGTCCATCCACAAGCAAATTCAAAAGTTTTTTTTTCAATCGGACAGTTTTTGATTGATATCTTATAGCTACATTCTTCTTCAAAATAACGTTATGTCATGAAGTTGGATATTGCCGTATCAGATCTATCTGAAATAGATACTTTAATACATTGTTTGAGCCGCGGGCCGCCTGTATCTCTGAGATGATTTATAACTATAAAGTTATCAAACACTTATGTCACTCCTTTATTGAGTTGTCAACTGTACCAGCCCATATAGCATTTGAAATATTATGAAACTTTCATTTGATATAACTAGCAGGTGTCATTAAGGCACAAATCATTATATTATATATTATATAGTCGTCTGTAAGGGACAAATTCGCCATTTTCGGGGATTGAGTTGTACTAGTACTAGAAATGTACGAAAATCGCATCATTCCTTCAAAAATACCCCAAACTAGGAATTTCTGTTTCTATTTTTTGTATTTGTCTTTTCTGTATTTTCTATATATATATATATATCATAGTCTCACGAAATGACGAGTCGTCTTTTTAATATTCAAACGCGGATAATTCTGGATTTGAAGGATCAAATTTCGATATTGAGCTCTGAACACTATTACTGATTAGCTTAACTCAACAATTTCCGTTTCTGAGACTAAATTGGTCAAGCGGATTGCAAATATGAGGGATTTTCAACTATGCGATTTAAATTTTAAATTTTATTTTTTCACAATGATCCTTTGTTGACGTTTGTAAAGGCAAACTGTAGTCAAGGCACGTATACATTGAAAATCATATACAAGAATAGAAGACCTATTTTTAGAATTGAATAATAAGCAATTCATTTATTCAATTATTCAATTTAAAATGGGCCGTTTGTTCTTTATATTCGGTAATATTACCCATGTCAAAGTTCATCATGATTGTTGAATTCAAAGAGATACACTTTGTGAAATTATTCACGTATTTAAAAGGAGGAAGGTAGTTGGATGACAAGTTAACGTTTGCTTCCAGCGGATATATAGCGCAAACTAGGTATTTGTTGGTAGTCGTAGTATGTTGGTATAGTTGGATTGGTTCAATTAGGATGATTCTGTGCTGTTGGTTTTGGTAGTTAAAGGTATATATAAGCGTCTAATTTTTGGCTTGGAATGACGGTGAAGAGCAGGCTACAAAGCACATCATGGCACCAGTTTTATTAAATTAGAACTTTTCGTTCCGGTTTTATATTAGCTTTTATTTTGAATATAGCCACTTCAGATGGGGTCTAACGGCAGCCCTGTTGAAATTCGTCATATTTACCTTTTGACCTAATTCGATGACTTCTGCTTTAACCATCAAATTTCTTCACAGACTTATTTTGAAAGTCCATCTTAATTGAATGAAAACGAACCGATCTTTGACCTATAAGATGGAAGTGACGACCGATGTTAATCATTTTTTGACGAAAAAAACTCAATTTCATTTCAATTTCATGACTCAACAAAATTGAATTATTTTATCAATATTGTTGTTATATTTGAGTAAACCAGGCGAACATGATTTTCCAATTAGTTTAATTGCCTGACGTGATACCCAGTGCATCTACTTCGTGTAAAACTATTTGATAGTTGGACAGTGGCCTTTCTAAAAATCTTTCGGTGAGGGGGCCCAGTAATGACCACAGGATTGTCACGGGGTGCTACCAGACAAGAATATTTCGGTCAGGGGTGGGGGACAAGTGTTGAGGCAAAATTTAAATTGCAACAACTCTGTGGAGATGTCATTAATGCCTTCGAATTTTTCAACCTGGTTTCCCCCTTGTCAGTGATGCAGGTAAGAGGGGCTGACATGGAAAAAGCGTCTAGTCGTTCGGATGGGACAATAAACCGAGACTCCGTGTGCTGCAGGCTGTGCACGTTAAAGATCCCACGACAGTTGAAAATCGAAAAAGAGCAGGCTAATGCCGCTGTCTTGGCAAAAATTTCCCTCATTGCACCCTGCATGACGTTGCCCGTCTTCATTAGCCCACATGGTGCAGAAAAGTAGGCCGTAAAACTCCATTCATTTCATTTTTGTGGAGACGTCATAGTCGCTAGCCTCTCATTGAGCGTTTAAAATAAAGTTGGGGTACAAGTGGGGGATGCAACCCACTTTTCTAGCGCGAATGTTGTCGAATATTCTACATAATGTGCGATGTTACTGTTGTAAATTAAGTAGGTTATGTCGTGGAACTGGTTCTGTAAAGTAGGTTAAGCCAATCGGATTATTTCATTATTTCATTAATAGGCTAATAAAAATCTCATAACTAACTTTAAGTAACAAGATAGAGTAGAATATAAAATGTTGTTTTACATCTTGGACTAATGAAATAAAATGGTGCTAACCATTTCTGTGCTTTAGGGTCAGTGGCCCAACTACCCAAGGGACTGATTAAACCAAGTACATGGGCACCCACCCTCTTGTGGAGCCACACCCATAGAAATATTCCATCAACAGGCAATAAATTGGTATACAGAAGGGTCTTTTCCCTTTAATTCTATAAATAACCATATGGTATTAATTTAATATCATAATTAGCAGTACGTTAATGAAGCAAGCTTGCCTATTATATTTTATGTAAAATTACAACTATAGAGGCGTATATAATATAGTTCGTTTTTTGTTCCATACGTCCTGTAGAAAGCTATTGGATTAATTATTGAGTGTAACTGGCTTATGAGTTTTATATCATTCGAATGTTGACAAGGATATTGGTAGGATCGAAGCCTTTATTATTCAGGTTTGGTGTTTTTTTCCGTGATTTGTTTTGCTCGCTGTTTAGGATCCCATATTAATAAGCTCGACCTACTGTATAGTAGATCGAAACATATGCCCCTATTTCAGTCTCTGCTGATAGATATTTTGAAAGTTGTAGATTATTCCAGTCAATAACTGTCATAATATCTATCATAGGCTGGAATATGTAGATGTTTCGGACTCTACTTTCAGTAGGGTTGGGGCAAGGTTTCGACGTTTGATCTGATTTTCGTTTATGCTTTGTTCGCCGGTGGTGATTGGACTTAGCTTTATACGGTTGTAAATTCTGGTTAAATTTTCTGGAGACAAGGGTGTACCAGAGGCCTTAATTATTGGTAGGGTAACATCAGAGTCTAGGTTTGTTTGTTTTTTTTCTTCGCTCTTTTGGATGATGTATTGATTGGTAGTGTTGGATAGTAGCTTATTAGCCTAAGCCTATTATTATTCCTGCTTGGTTTAAGTTTTCTTTGCAAGTTTGGGCGCACAGTAGCTTAGTTTGGTTTCATCATATCTTGAGTTTGATTGCAATTGTTTCAGATTCTTGTCTTAGATAAGCCTTTCAGCTTTCTGAGGTACGGTACCTAATATCTTGTGTTGCGGCCACCGAAAGACGACATTCTCTTCAACACGTCCGAAACAGCGATGCCTAGATGTAGCCCAATTATCCCTTTCAATGGTGGATTTGGTATTCTTAACGATAGTGCGCCTAGAGATAGTTTATATGACGTACTAAAGCTGGGCCTTAATGGCGTGAGTTTCTGATATAGCCTAACTTTCATTTTATCTTTCAGAAAATGTGGTGGAAAGATATACTGATTGGAACCACGTGGATAGCTCGTGATGAGCAGACACACGATATTCCCGCCATTTTAGCTGCTATTTTCTTCTACGTAGTGTCGTTTATCATCTGCTACGTCACGTTTCGTATAACGAAGCTTATCCTTCCAGAATCTATTCATTCGCTTACCACAGAATTTGTAAAGACATTGCTCGTGTGTACCTATCCTTATGGACATGGGCTGGTTCGGTATCATTATGGAAACATCGGATATTTCTTCACCGCTGTGCCTCTTGTGGTCCTCACGCTGTCCCTCTTCCCCCAAGGCCTGTGTTCACCACTTAGTATTTTTGTTCTATTTTTGAAGGGACAAATATCACTTTTTAATCTCATATTTAGAACAGTTATCCAGACGCTAGGTGCCTTTACGTCGTACAAGTTAGCCATGTTTGTGTGGTCATTCGGCGTCCATTCAGAACACACTAAACAATTCCACGCCACTTTGTGTCAAACCGATCTCAATGTTACAGTACAAGTTGGATTTCTCCTGGAACTTCTGTGCGTTGCCTTTGATACATGGTTAGGTTTTAAAAAGCTGAGCAAATCAGATTTGGTGGACAGCACTATAAAGATCGCCAACAGCACTTTGATGGTTTGTTTAGGTGAGTTACCCGTATTATTAGTAATCAATATATCCGATCATTCACCATACAGTAGATATCAAATTGTGCGTTTTTTATCAGCTTTTATTTCTAATATAGCCACTTTATCAAAATTATTTATTTTTAATATAGCCACTTCAGTTAGGGTCTAACGACAGCCCTCTTAAATGTTCGTCAAATTAACCTTTTGACCTGACTCGATGACTTCTGCTTTAACCAATCAAAGTTCTACCCTCTTCAGTGCTTGCATTTTTGTAACGCGGTGTTTATCAGGTTATGTCAAAGGTTAATTTGACGAACGTTCTACAGGGTTGTCGTTGGACCCCAACTGAAGTGGCTCTATTAAAAATAAATAATTTTGACTGTGAAAAGTGTAATATATTTTCTTCAATCTAAAATTGAAATTGAGCAAATACCAATCCTTGTCATCAAATTCCTCCCAAAAACTCAAACTTTACTTTTCTTTCAGGTGTTCACCTAACAGGAATGTACCTCCATCCAGCTATGGCGTCTGCCTTGACCTACTCGTGTCAGGGTTCCTCAGCCTTCGACCATATCGCCGTCTACTGGGTCAGCGCCTTCATTGGTTGTTACCTTGGTTACATATTACATCACAAAATCAAAATTACCCGGATGGATACTCACGATCTCCGACATCGAAAAATGAATGGCTCTGGCGACACTAAGAAATCCAAATAAACAACGACAAAATCCCCCGTAACACAGTTCACTGCGAAAGTTCCTTTTGCGCTCTGCAACAGATTTGACGGAAACTACCGAGAATTACCGAATGCCAAAATAATTTGTTTAACCACCAGTTTACCATGTTCTTGTTTTTATCAAATGATGTTAAGTTCTTGAATTATATTATTCTATTAAATTGTTTCAATTGTTTGTTGCTTATTTAAAAAAAATCCTTACAAGACGGGTTGAAAAATATAGTCTGTTATAGCCTGTCTAGGCTAGTTAAAGACGTCAAATTCCAACTGGAAAACTAATCTAATTTAATTCAGCTTTTCAGCTAATTAATTGTAATTGCTATACATCAATTCACCAAACGGGAAAACGGAATGATTGAAGTTAGAGGTTAAAGTAGCCCCAATAAATAACTTAGCCTACATCTTTAATGGATTTTAAGGTTTTCAAAAAAAATATGTGTCGAGGACACTGATAACATTTTATTTATTGCATCATTCCAATATTCAATCAAAGACGTCTGTGGTTCTTGCAATTCCACTAAAACTAAGCGTTTTGTATACCGTCACCAATCGCGAAGTCGCATTTTGCGCGTTCAGTGACGTCATAAAACACTTAGATTTCGTGAAATCGCAGGAGCCACAGATGTCTGATTGAAAATTGGAATGGTGAAAATTGATACTATCAGTATCCCCAATAGGGCTTTCACATAAAATTGTCAGAAAATCTCTTTATGATCCCTTTAAAAAACAACCCTTTATCGTGGCGGTGGGAGTGAGGACCAAATCGTTTTCATAACCCAAATGTTCCCTCACACACTAAGCGAAAGTTACTCTCATACAATTGCGATGTATAGATAGATGAAGGATAAATGGTTACTTTTTTTAAAAAAAAATGCCTCTACCATCCCTTTTATTATTCCAAAATGGGTTTCTTTCCCTTCAAGTGATATTTAACTAAGAAAGACTACAGACCGATATTAAAATAAGAATAACGTCATTAAATAGACTTACCTCCCTTGTATTGAAACCAAACGATATTCTGATCAGAAAGCAGAGATCACAGAAAAGCGTTGACAGACGATCTACGACTGTTATTTGTTTCGAAGTCATGTTAGAATCAGAGAGA